AAGCCCCTCTTTATTATTATTTTTTTGGAATATTACAGGTCTATTTAGTACGGCCAGCAAGCTTTGTCAAATTAAATAAAAAAGGTAAGATAAGCAAGTTGAAGAGGGTTTTGTATGATTTGAAACAAGTCCTGATAGCATAATGTACCAGAAATGCTTACTTTATTATTCTGGTTTTTAGAGGTGTCCATGCAAGCACATTTTATACATTAGATCTTCTTCTCATGTGATGTCATATTTCCTCAAAGTGGAGGTTTTTTTTCATCTAATCATGGTATTTTTATTTTTCAAACAAAACATATATATAGTTGACATTTTGAAGAAGTTTAAGATGAATACAATAAAGCAAATTTTAACTATGGCAAAAAAAAATAATTAAAGTTAACTGAGAAGGGCACTGATGGATCTATGGATTCAAAACTTTTGTGTGGAGTTTGAAAATATTTGACATCTACAAGACTAGACATCAATTTGAATTTTGGTTTGATTAGCAAACTTAGGAAGAATCCACACTTACAAGCATCTGAGAGGATGCTTAGGTATATTGCAACTACTAATACTCAAACTCATGGTTTTTTTTTTCACTCAAGTGATGATCCAAGGTATCTAGTTTTCCACGGGCACAATAAGTATATTGACACCCAATATCACTTCACATGTAAATTGGTTTGAGATAGAGATTGAGATCCGATTTTTGCGTACCTGACAAACAAGATGATGATATTTTTATGAAGGCATTTGTGAAGTTAAAGTGAATGTTGGGCATGTCCAAGTTTGAGGACCTTAATTTAAAACAAGAACTATAGAAAAAATTAGACCAAATTTTTAGTAGTTTGTTTGCTTTAATATGTTAATGTTTCTTTGTGTAGTTTGATTAGGTAGGTCCAATGCTAGTATTCGTTATGAGTTGCATAGGATCAATTTCTTGGAGTAGTAATTGGTTGTTATAAGGGTGCTTATCAATTAACAATTAGTAATTCGGTAGTCCTTGGTTATTAGAGAGGCAAACGGGCAGCTGCCGTCTAAATTTCATTACTTTATAAATAGTTTACTACAATTTCACTTATATACTTTTAGTCAAAATTACATCTAGTTACTATGAATCCATTGCTTCTCCAACATATATAAATAAATTGGGATAACATAATTTACCACTCAGAATAGTGCTCGATTTTTTCTCAGCTAACCCGTTCTTGCTGCCTTCTCTTTATGGCTTTACTCTCAACCTTCTCTTCACTATTTTTTCTCTATAGGAAAGAGATCTTCAGGTCATGATCTCCCTTTATCTTCAACTATTTTTGTTTTATATTTAATAAAGTCTCTCCTAGCTTATTTTACTGAGAGTTTTCTCTTTCTTAGTGTTTATTAGTAAAAGTTTTCTTCTCTCCTAAGCTATTCTAATGGAAGTTTTATTTAATTTTTTATTATTTTTTTAAGATTGAAGAGTTTTTTCATATCAATATATTAGATGTGATATTAGATCTGAAATTTCTTAGATATTCTCATCAAAGCTCAATACTGATTTTGAACATGAACCAATTGGATGGCAGATCTGAGAGAATAAATATGCATAAATACTTATATAGTAGTTTATGCAATTAGTCAGATCTGATGGTTTGTGATTCATAGTGTAATTTCTTATTTTGTAACTCTATTAAATGTAATAATTTATCAGATCCGATATATTTGTGACATGTTTTATATATTTTCTGTCATTAATGCAACTTTCTTTGTCAAATCAATGAAGCAAGTTTGTTAATATTATTGGCTTGTGTTTTATCCCAAAAAAAATTGGGATAACTATCCTATTTTTTATAGTCAACTAATTTAGCATGCTAATTTGCAAGAAGTAAAGAATTTATTCCAAAGAAGTACGCTCTATGAGGAAAACTAACAATAAGTAAATAACGGTTCTATGAATTTACATAAAATACATAACAAAGATATAAATCATTTGATCCATTTTGTTAGTTATTTAGTATGCATTTTGTTTCAAAACTTTTTCTCAGAAAGCTCAAAACTAAAAGAACGAAATATGAAATTCTGCTTTGACCCTCAACTTGTCCTTCTTTTCTCTTATCATATGTAAGAATTCGTGTTCGATTCTCAACTCTCCTCATTTTTCTTTCTCATTGTAAGGTTTAGTGTCTCTCTTAAACTAAAAATATTTTGGATTATTACATGTATACTTCAATGAGGAGCTTAATTCACATTAGAATAGATCATTCCACTCAATTAAAAGGATCTTAGAATACCTAACTTGGGAACTACTACCAATAATGCCTACAACTAAGAAAAAAGATACGATTGCTAATGATTGGATAAGAAGTACGTACTCATTAACACTAATATCTATACACCGTGTAATTTCAACCTTTCTCTATTTGACCTGCATTTAGCATTGTTTTTAGAGCTACCTGTGATTTCATTCTAATGAAAACTTGATAATATAGTAGTATAAATGACAGTAGACGAAAAGTAGATGAATGGATGTACACTAGTTCAAATGGTGGCGTAGAAGTCTCCCTAACGCCAACAAAAGGCATTGTCCACCTAAGAATCTCCCTCTTTGTTAATTGTTACTGCAAGTGCAAACATAATCCCTTCGTCACCTTTACGAATCAGATGTTAATTTTTAGGGTTAATTCCACTTTGTCCCCCCAAACTTTGGACGATTATCAACTTAAGTCCCTAAACTTCAAAATGGGACACTTAAGTCCCTAAACTTATAAATACCTCCCACTTAAGTCCCTAAACTTATAAAATGTGACACTTTAATCCCTAAACCCTTATAAAATGGGACACTTCGACAACCAACGGCATTCAGGATTTGTTAACAATTTTCCTTAAGTGGGAGGTATTTATAAGTTTTGGGACTTAAGTGTTCCATTTTAAAGTTTAGGGACTTAAGTGAGTAATCGTCCAAAGTTTGGGGGGACAAAGTGGAATTAACCCTAATTTTTATCTTACAAATAATTGGTTAGGTCCCACTCCTAACATCTTTTTGTCTCCTATCATCTAGATAGGATAACATATAATATTCAACAAGTTGATTTGGTCCAATTGAGAAATAGTCTGAAAAGAGGCAGTGACTCAAAGAGTGAGTTTGCAGAAAACTTTGTATCATTTCATGCTCAAAGGGAGAAGGTGATGATTCACCCATAAAACATACAATCATGCTCTGCACGTTGAGGAGGTTTTGGTACAGTTGCTGAGGTTGAGATCTAAAAAATTGGAGGTATTGAGCTCAAATCTTACCTCCTCACTGATTCTCAAATTACACCATTTTCCTACTGAAAAAAACAAAACAAAAATCATGCTTTGCTCGTTGCTCCATTTTCAATCCCCCTTCCTCCTCCTATTCTAATAGACAATTTATTAAGATGGCACCCATTTGGATTGAAGATTATGTACAGTATATCATTTTGTGTCATATAAATGCATGGGGGAGAAAACAGGCATAAAAAATTATAGAAACAATTAATTTCAACAATGATTATTAGTTCCCGTCGCATTAAATTGCATCGAAGAGTAAGTTCAAGTATGATCAACAGTGAAAATTAGCCCATCAATAATACTTCAATTCGAATATTTTATCTTTACTCTTGAGATTTTCTGCATCTTTAATACTCAATTAGATTATAATCAGCTTAAAACTTATGGATGATTAGTCTAATAATTTCATTGGATAACTTTTTTATACATTGTTAGTGTATAATTTTTTTTATACTAGTAGGTTTAGATCATTGATATATAATATGAATTCAAATTTGAAATTCAAATCATGCACATGTTCATACATTCATAATTATTAGTGTAAAAAAATCATTATACTATCAGTATATAAAAAATTAATTTATTTTATATTGTATAATTTCACAAACCTTTGCAAGCACGAAACAATATATCAATGGTACATCTCAAGCTAGACCAAAGACGTCATACAAACAAAAGTACAAAAAATTCATAACAAAAATTCATCCCCAAATCATGGTCTGTTTTGTCAAACCAACAAATTCGAAATGACTGAGATTTGAAAGACTTTGACACGACATAACAAAATATGGCATCCCATAAATACCCACATTTGCAATTTTGCTAGCCGTGAAAAATTTTACTATACAACCATCTTACTATTAAAATTTAATGTACATTAGTTCCGTATATGTTTGTGTTCGTATGAGATGATTATTAATAAGAGCAAATAGCACAAAAGATCACTTAATTATTTAAGATTCCTTATTTTAGTCAAATACACTTCTTCTTTTTTTACCAAAATAGTCTTTCAACTAATAAAAACGTAATTGCATAGTTATTTAATTAGTAAAAACGTACATTTTTTCACTCAACTGATAAAAACACACATTTTTTGGTTTGTCCAAAAATATAAGTTATAGCTAGTTAAGGTGGCTATCTTTGGTAAATTAGAAAAATTTTAATGACTAAAACATACTAATATTTATATACACGTCAGAATGTTCTCGTTAATATACCTAAATTTTATCTAATCTATTATGTATATACATACCAATAATAACTATCTCTTCTTGTATTTATACACTTTTTTATTTAATTTTACATTTTTAAATATTATATTTTAATGAGTCTCTAATGGCATCGTTAGATAGAGGCTTAAATAAATTAGTGATGATAAAGCAACCAACAGATTCCATACTTGATGAGCTAGTTGAGGTTATTGAACAAAGGGTCCCTCGTGTATGTATTTCCTTCAATCGGTTATAATCACTCCCATATTAGCTGTCACATTCAATTGTTGCAACTAGTTGTTTGGATGGACGGGTGGGACCATCCCACTCTAGGGCCCCACCCAACTCCCCTCCTTGCTCTCTGGGTTGTGGGCTGCTGATTTTTCAGGATAACCATGAGTCCATAACCTATCAACGTCATAATTTGCTGACAATTTTTTTTATTTTTTTAACTTTTTCTTTTCCTTTTCCTATTTTTGTAATGTACAACCAATTTATGGGCATCTTTTAACAATCAAAAACCTTGCTTTGCTTTTATTAGTGTCCTCTCGTGACTTTGGAGTCTAATTCCTGTTGCAGTCCATCTTGAGTCCATTATTTTCTTCACTAATCACTAATTTAATCCAAAACCCATCTCTCTTTTTCTCTGTTTAAAGATTTTTAGTAGCTGAGAAAATCCACAGATTATAAGACAAGAACTTAAGGAAAGATCCCTTTTGATAAAAGTAAGTTTTGGTTTCTACTCAATCTAGTACTTAATATGGTATGCTAGTACAAGAAATGATTACAGCATTTATTTGCAGTAAAAAAGGTTAACATTTTGTGAATATTTTGGAGTTTTTTTTTCTTTTTAAATCTGCATGTTTGATTGTAGCTGTCACTTTCAGATTGTTTAGTAGCGTTGGTGGGAATCTAGGAACTGGCTCTGCCTACTCAAGTATGGTTGAAAAGTACTGGTACTAGAACCACCCCATGGGGCTGCTTGCCAATTTAACTGATTAATTATAGAGTACTAGTTGTAAAAGTAAGAATTTCTACTGTTTCATTATTTTTCTTTAGTTTTTGGTTCGAAAGAGAAAATGGGTTTTTCCTATTTGCCATAAAGTATGCTTCTGTGGGCTCTGGTGTATTGGTCTTATGTGCAGTCACAGGATTAGAAAGCAGAACCTTTTTTTTTGTAGTATTTAATTTCATTTTTGTTGTTTTCTTGAACAACTTTTTGGTGTGTTGTTGATGTGAAAAGATTGGATTTTTACAGTACTTTCATTATTTGACTGTCTCAAAATTGGACTGTGAAAAGAGAGATTTTTATGAGTAATGTGTAAGAATTTTAGTGCTACTAATAGTTGTTGTGGGCCTGGTTCTGTGAAAACTGTTGTTATCAGGATGGCTTTTGGCTATTGGAATTTGGTAGAGAAAGCAGCAGAAATGGGATTTTGAATACTGTTTTCTATCCATTTTAGACTTTCTGGGTTTTTCTCCTTTGTTTGGTTTCTTTCTTGGTGGTCTCTTTCACAGGTCATCACCATGGACAGCTCTAATCAGTACTACTAATTACTGTCTTGAATTGAATTCACCGTCAACAAATAAATTTGTCAGATTTTTTCTTTTCCCTTTTTGGCCTTTCTATTGCTTTTATTTATTGCATCCTTTTTGGGGTTTTATGGTTTTCAGATATTTCTCATGGTCTAACCGAAGTTGTTAACTTCTGTACATCAATAGGGTCAGCATTTCACAATTGTCCATTTCATCATTTCTGAAGCAAATCACCATTGAATTCATCATCAGCTAGCGTCTCCCTCACTTCCTTGTGATTCTTGTTGATATTTATTGGTACTCAGTGCAGTTCACTTGGCTATTTTTAGGGCTTTTGTCTTTATTCTTGCTTACTGCTTTGCTCTGACACATCTCCTTTCACAGTTCAAATCTACCAATCAATCACTTGCTATTTATACATAACTTCATTTCCAAAGAATTTACTGATATCCCATTTAAGTAAAATCAGTGGTTCAGAAATATAGTTCAAGCTTTGATCTGAAGTGCTCAGCTTTTGTTTGATATCTTTCTCTGTAATTGAAGAAGAATTTAATTGCTCAATTGAAAGCTAGGCTAGATGACAGCTGATGAATCAACTAGTGCTGTCTGGAGTAGAGAGCAAGATAAGGCATTTGAGAATGCGCTGGCTACTTATCCTGAGGATTCTGCAGATCGTTGGGAGAAAATTGCAGCTGATGTCCCAGGAAAATCCTCAGAAGAGATTAAACATCACTATGAGATTTTGGTTGATGACGTTAATCGGATCGAGTCTGGCTGTGTACCTTTACCTAGCTATAGTTCTTGTTTAGATGGTTCAACAAGCCAAGCTGGTGATGAAGGAACAGGCAAGAAAAGTGGCAATTTGGGACACTTTAGCAGCGAGTCTAACCATGGAGGCAAGGCTTCAAGATCAGATCAGGAGCGGCGCAAAGGGATTGCCTGGACAGAGGATGAACACAGGTAAATTATGTTGCACTCAATCAGAATTCTTTGTTCTGTAACTCAACTTAATTATTGTCATCTTATGGTATAGGTATTACTTAGTCTCAGAAAAGAAAGGCTATGGTTCTTCCTTTAGTTACTGTGAGTCCTTCTTTAGTGATCGCACAAGGTTGTGTAATTCAAGGGGGATACTTTTTGTGGCTTACTAACTGCGTAATGGTCATAGGGATGGGCTAAAAAGTATATTGTATCTCATAAATAGTGTGGTAGGTTGGATTGTGTTATTGCTAGCTCACTTTGTCTTTATTTTATCCTGAATTTCTGATTTTATTGATGTTGCTGAAGCAATATCTTCCACATGTTAATTGTACCACGTTACTGTGAGGTAAGCACAATGGAATTATGGTTGCAGTGCCTTATATGTGATAATAATAGGTGGTATGGATTTACCCATACTACTAACATGTAATTTTTTCCCTTCTTGCTTATTTGTGTTGCTGTTGCCTAAAAAACAGTCAATTATTTTCCCAACCTTGAGGTGGTTAAAGTTGCAATCAAGTTCACTCTTCAGTTCTCTGCACAATGTTGTTAGCGTGAGTTATATACCTACATGAAATTTCGTAATACTCTTGACTTGGGAATAATTCAGACAAATGTCAGTGAATAAACTTGTTAATTAAGTGTATAGAATTGTAGTTAAGTGCAGAATGGGAAACTACACACTGATTAAAAGAACTATTGAAAGAAAACCAACTTGGAAAAGAAGAGAAAAGCTAAAAGAGCAGGAAGGAGGGGATGGGGAACTTGCTTTTCCTATTGTCTTACTTTGCCTTTTTGGCACCTCATTTATTCTTTAAATTCTGCTTGGGATACTCTACTTCCAGCTGAGGAGCCTTCTTCTTGAGATCCTTTTTTGTTATATTTACATTTGTTAGAATTACAGAATTTTGAAATAAAAGCCATGTTTCACTAAAATAGTTAGAAAAGGGCATGAGGATATTTTAGGTCATACCTAGGATGATTATAATCTTTGACTAATTTCTGTCAAAGCTTTTCCATGCCAAACAAAATCCTTGCACAAATTAACCCCAAAGCTAACTGTGCTATGTGTAGCTTCCTGAATAATATTTTCATTTATTACAGAAGAGCAGCATTTGCTTCTTGCGTGCTTTGTATGACTCAAACCTAGTAGGACAAGTTAATTCTCAATTGTAGCCATATGGTTATCTTTTTGGGGGATTAGTTCCTGAATTAATTGTTTTAGCTTTAGGAGTGACTTTGATATCAATTTACCTAATTTTAGGGTTGCATTTTATTTCCAGATGCCTTTGCTAATTCTTCATGCTTCCTGTGATTGATGAGAGAAAAACACACTAAAGATTAAAAGCGCCTATAACTTTATAGGTGTTGCGTTAAATGGCTTCACACTTGAATAGTTCGAAATTCGACTATGTGATTTAATAGGTGCATTCATAAATTTCATGTATTTCTTCCTCATCTCCGTACCTTAGCTTTAAATCAGGAGTCTGATTGGTACTGTTTTGGAATCATCGGATGTTACATATATATGTCAGCTATTTAAACTTTGCCAACTCTGATTTCCCTTCATTTTCCAGCATCCTGATTGATTTCATATTATTATCAAACTTATCGTATTATGTTTGCTTGCTGCACAATGAAATTGAACTCCTTGTAGTGGATTGATCTGACATTTTCTGAAGTAATATCCCACTCATTAGAGAATCTTTTGTGTAATGGTCACTTTAGTTTTCAGTTTGAGGTAGCTTTTCTGGATATTCTTCAACATCGTTTTACAAGTCTGTGGAAAGATACAAAGATTATCATGTGTGTCTCTGTCTCTTCCTGTGCATGCATGTGAAATATGCTGATCGAAGTCTGGCTTTGTTTTCCCCCTCTTGGAGAACCTTTACACTTTGTTTGGCCCATGTTGGCGGAAAGGTGACCTTATGTAGGTAAAGAAAAAACAAATACAACTTAGGGTTTTAGTTTCATTTAACTCAAAAGCTTGCAAATGAAAGTTGGTAGTCATGGAGAATATTATGTTTAGCTTGCATTCTGGGACAGAAAACACGAAAGTATTCCTGCAGAGTAGTTGATACACTACTTTCCCGCAAATCAAACGCTTAGAAGGGGGAAATGCTGGCTTTGTTTAACCTTCCACTTTCTTTGCTATTCAAATGTACCATTTGGTTGTTAGATCCTGGAGAACAATATTTTTAAAGGTTTTTATATAAAAGCTGAAACTTATCAGGACAGAGAAGAGAAATGAAAGAGACGTGAAGAGATAGATGGTTTGCAGAACAGAAGACAAGGATTTCATTTTGATAGATCAAACATGGAATGTTAGTAATATATTTTTTCTCACTCTGAAAATCAACTTCGAGTTGTTCAAAGGGAATATGCTCTTATTAAATATTTGGAACCCAATAGAAGAGTTGAAGCAATAAGCAGTGAATTGGATTGAATTGCTTATTGCTATTCCTAAATTTCAGAATGAAAAAGGTTTCAGAAAAGTAGGGATTCATCACTTCGTAAACTTCTCTTCCACTATGAGTTAGTGCTATGTGCCTCCTATGTTTCCGTGAATGTTCACATTCCAGAGGTTATGAAAAATCTGAAAGTTTTTTTTTTGTGCTACAGATGGATTACATGCAAGCTGTGTCTGTAGAGTATTTAAAAGAAAATAATCTGTGTGGTCTTTGTTAAAAACTGCTCTTTGATTCAATAATTTGAAGTACCTTTTCCTAGAAATAGGTGAGGAAAGCCCAAATTAAACAAAGTTTTATCAAGGTTTTCATGTTGGCAAGTGAACAGTTGTGGAGTTTTGTGCTGAATGTATTTTTGCCAAGTGGCACATTTAATGTTATGGACTATCTAAAGTGCCAATTAAGAGTTAATCGTTGGTTAACATTCTTTATTTCTCCTTTTATTCTCTGTTGAAAGGAGTTTGTTTGCAAGAACTTCTACTTGGTTCTTTCTTAGACTAATCTTGAGCTATGAGTTTTCTAATGCAAACTCGGATTTCAGGACAATCCTTTTCTGAATTCTAGTATCTAGCTAGTTTGTAATATTTTATATTATTTGTGTTACAAGCAACAATAGTGATTATCTATCCAGCATAGCCTAGGATGTCGAGCATAGCTATCATTTATCTTGATTTCTGAGATTCTGGCTATATTTATGTAGATTTGAAGCCTCTGCTTCTCTTTATTGGTTGACTTAAGCTAATCTCACCTATCATTTTCAAATTTCATATGTTAAATAACAGACATCATTGACAGTAATAAGATGCCTTATCTATTAGGCATTACTGAATCAGTTAATAATCTCTAATAATTGCTAAAATGTCCAAGGGGTAAATTTGTTTATGTGCTTAGTAAATATTACTAGCACCTTGTGAGTTTATGTAGTTTGGGAAATCTCGTAGAGCACTGTCTATGAGAAGGCAAATTTTGGCATGAATGTGTCCCATCTTTCGTTTTCCTTTCTACTGTAAAGTATGAATGTCGAACATTATGGATGTGTCTGAATAAACACAAGTAATGATGCTTTGTGGGAAGGATACCACTGAAATTATAAAAACTATACATACAAATATAAAGATGCACATACATGACGATCCTCAGAACTTAAGATACCGAGTTTTTGGTGGACGGAGGTGTGGAATCTCTAAACTTTGGAGTCTTGCCTCTTATCAATAGAGGATTTCATGAAATTGTCTTTTTTTTTAACCTTGATTTCTCAGTTAAACTTTATTGATGGGAATGCCCTAGTTCTTGCATATTTAGCATGGAACTTTTCATGGTAAATAAATTGTTCTTTGAGTTGTTGGAGGGGCAGAAGTAGACAAATTAAAGGGAACAAAGTGGAAGAAACTCATACTTGAAGGACTTGATCAAAAGAATTCCATAGTTTAGTGAGCCTCATGGAAATTAACTGTTTTAGTTGCACTTACTATCTTCTAGGGGAACTGTCTAAGAGGGGCATTCAGAAGATCTGCTGTTATAAACCATTTTAGAAATTGGTCAGCATGGGGATTTTACCTTCTTGAAGCATATTCAGTGCATTTAATGAAGTACTATTTTTACTTTTCAGTATGTGCGCACTAATGCTAATCACCTACAGTTAATGTATTCCTGTTAATGAGGAATGCATGAGAGCTGGAACTTGTGGTTTTATTACCAAAGCCTGAAAAAGTTGTCAATGATGCCTGAAAAATTTTTCCAAGCAGGGATAGAGAAACAGTTAGCAGAATTTTTCTTATCGTGTAGTCTTCAATCCTGCAACAATGATTTCTGTTCCGAGCATTTTGGAGCAGTTCAGTTTTTGGTGACTTTACTGGGTTATTTTTTCATGCTATGGGAAGTGTTCTTATAAATATTGATGCACATGTTGCAATGGGATTTTGGATTCTGCTTTTTGGCTGGAAAACTTCAAATAAATGTGACACTAACAAGTTGGAAGTATCAGTCCTCCACAGTTCTTTATCCTGCTTGAATTAAAAAATGGACCTTGAAGCCTCAAATCCTTCCTGTTGCATTTGAAAATTGTTACAATGCCATAGATGTGGTACTAAGATTGTGGCAAAAATGGGTTTTAACTGCTTCAGCATATTGTTTCCCTTTCTCTGAGAATCTTACTCTTGTGAACTTTGTCGTGAGCTATCGTCACGCCCTAGAACATGTAAACAAATACCATAAGACTCGATAACGAGTCATAAAGTCAAACCAATTATCGCCCAATAGGGTTTCATGCATGGAAATTCAAGGGTTCAATACTTAACCTTTACTCAAGTCGAGAATATAGTTTTCTAAATCTCGAGAAAAAATGCGGGCAGCATGCCCTTTGTGTTACCAAATTTTCCAGCCATAAGGCTTCATTATTTTTCTTCAATCACAACCCAACAACAACATATAAGCATTTCATGTCAAGAGCCGTTCCATAGCTCACAATATCATAAAACAAGAAACCATACCGAGCCATAAACAACACCAATTCACAACCCCAATAGGGTTTTA